TTTAATGTTAGGTGACCGTCTGGAGGAACAATGCACATGCAGCGTCATGGAAGGTGATCTCACAAACTGCTGCAACAACATCGATGGTGTGATGGCAGCCCTCAACATCATTCACGATCCAGATGAGTGGAGACTGTTCATTGATTCATCGAAGACAAGTCTTAAAGCTGTTTTACTGCATAATGGCAATGTTTTGCCATCAATTCCAGTTGGTCATGCAGTCCATATGAAGGAAACCTATGACAACATGAAACAACTTTTGAGGTGCATAAATTATGACCAACATCAGTGGCAGCTTTGTGGCAATTTGAAGGTTGTTGCTCTCTTGCTTGGTCTGCAGACTGGATACACAAAGTACTGCTGTTTTCTCTGCGAATGGGATAGTCGTGCAAGAGATTCCCACTACATCAAGAAAGATTGGCCACTCCGACAGTCATTGGAGCCTGGGAGGAAAGGTGTTCAGCATCCACCACTTCTTGAATCAAGGAAGATTTTGTTACCACCCTTACACATCAAGCTGGGTCTGATGAAGAACTTTGTCAAGGCTATTGACAAAACACAAGCTTTCAAGTACCTCCGTGGAAAATTTCCAAGGTTAAGTGAAGCTAAGATAAAGGAAAGTGTCTTTGTTGGTCCTCAGATTCGTGAACTTCTTCGAGATGATGCATTTGACCATGCACTGCGTGGCAAGGAAAAGACGGCATGGAAAGCCTTCCAGTTAGTGGCAATACATTTTCTCGGCACCTCCTCAAGGCATACAAAAGGCTTGGTTGCAACATGTCACTAAAGATAAATTTTTTGCACTCTCATCTAGACTTTTTTCCACCAAACTGCGGAGCAGTGAGTGACGAGCATGGCGAGCGATTTCACCAGGACATTGCAACAATGGAGAAATGCTATCAGGGCAAATGGAGCCCATCAATGCTTGCAGACTATTGCTGGACAGTGACAAGAAATGCTCCATTTAATGAATACAAGAGACAAGCCAAGAAGCGCCGAGTAGACACTGACTAGGACTAAACTATGTACATAATAGTTTTTTGCCTTTTGTTTCATAATCAATTTTATTTATATAACCCTTTTGCTGATTTTTAAAGTGTTACATAAACAGGACAAGTGCAATATTATCATGTAAAGCAACCATAAACACATGAAAAGACCTAGGTTTACAATTTATGATTAAAACTCTACTATCTACACAATATACATAGACATAAAATGTAAAAACTTAAATATCTTAGAAACAGTAGCCAATCAGTTGTTTTAATTGTCATATTTGAATTCAGCACATCAAAATACATAACAAATAGCACATTTTATCTCTGAAGCAGACGACTTCTGAAAAATTGTAGACCAGTGTTATCGCCTAGGCCGACAAGGCTTAGGCCTAGAGCGGCAAATTTGCAGGGGCAGCAAATTTGCTCGCGCCCCCTCCCCAACTCCTCCCCTTCCCCAAATCCCCGGCCTGCCTCCTCCCCCAGGCACACCGCACTTCCCTCCTTCCACCTCCCTCCCAGGCTTGCCGCACGAAAGCGCTGGGAGGGAGGGAGAAGCGAGTAGTGGCGCACTTGGAGGAGGCGGAGCAGAGGTGAGCTGGGTCCTGCAGGCGCGGGGAGTAACCCGGGTGTGGGGCCAGGAACCGCTTCCCGTCCCAGCTCACCTCTGCTCCACCGCCGCCGCCATACCCCGAGCACGCCGCAACTCCCCTTCTCCCTCCTCCCTCCCATGCGTGCCGCGCGAAAGCGCTGGGAGGAAGGGAGGAGAAGCGAGTAGAGAAGCGAGTAGCGGCGTGCTCGGGGGATAGCGGAGGTGAGCTGGGGCCGGCGGGCGCGGAGAGTAACTCTTAGGGAGGGGGCAGGGAACCGCTCCCTGCCCCAGCTCACCTCCACTCCACCTCCGCCATCACCCGAGCGCACCACAACTCTCATTCTCCCCCCTCCCTCCCTCCCAGGCTTGCCGCGGAGGAGCAGAGGTGAGCTGGCGCGTGGGGGTGGGGGGGGAGGCGGCAATTTTTTGAGGGCCTAGGGGCGGCAAATTCGTTAATCCGCCACTGCTGAGATGGTGTGTAGGCTTCACTGTGGTCCCGCACTCGCAACACCACACGTCGCCTGGGGAAGCGCATCGGCTACCGCTGGGAGTGGTGCGAGGAGCGCCGGGAGCTGGGAATCTGGGTGCCGCAGATCAGGTCCAACGACAACACCGTCGTTACCCCAACGGCCAGGGGCTTGCTGGAGAGGACTCTGAAGGCCGCCATCCGCTCGCTGTACGCGGAAACCCTGAAGCGTAAACCGGACCAGGGTAAAGCCTTTGAGTTGACCAGCAAGTGGGACGCCAGCAACCACTTCCTCGACGGGGGCAGCTTCACCCGTTTTGCCAACTGGCGGTTCATCCACCGTGCCCGGCTCAACTGCGTCCCGCTCAACAGAGCTGTCCACCATGGGAACCGAGACAAGCATTGCAGGAAGTGCAGCTACCCCAACGAGACCCTGCCCCATGTCCTGTGCAGCTGCAAACCCCACTCCAGAGCCTGGCAGCTGCGCCACAACGCCATCCAGAACCGCCTGGTGAAAGCCATTGCGCCACACCTCGGGGAGATCTCCATGAACTGCACCATCCCCAGTACCGACAGCCAGTTACGACCTGACGTGGTCGTCACCGACGAGGCCCAGAAAACGATCATCCTCGTCGACGTCACGGTCTCCTTTGAGAACAGGACTCCGGCATTTTGCGAAGCCCGAGCTCGTACGTTGGAAAAGTACGCCCCCCTGGCTGACACCCTGAGAGCGAAGGGCTATGAGGTGCAGATGGACGCACTGATTGTCGGAGCCCTGGGCACCTGGGACCCCTGCAACGAGCGTGTGCTGTGGACCTGTAGGATCAGTCGACGCTACGCACGTCTCATGCGGCGCCGCATGGTCTCAGACGCCATCCGATGGTCCAGGGACATCTACATCGAGCACATCACCGGCCACTGACAGTACCAGGAGGCGTGAGCCAGAGTGACATCATTCTCCCACTACGAGAAAGGGACCAAGTGACCTTCTCCGTTGGATCATATGAACTGGAACCATAAACTCCCTAAACATTAAATCTCACCAAATGAGGGTCAATCCATCCTCATCGTCATATCCACTCATTATACTCCACACCCGAACACAACCACTCTATGAACTTCATACCCTCATATCTCAATGGCCGTACTTTGACCCATCAACCTTTTACCCCCAATCGGGCATATTGCAGATTATGTATTCCTCAGGCCACCTGATCTTAAGCCAAACTTTGCACCCTCGATAATCTGTATGATATTCCCTGATAACCAGAAACTTCTATGCTCAAACTCTGTTCACAATTTTTTTTTAAAAAGAACAGAAGTACTTGTGGCACCTTAGAGACTAACAAATTTATTAGAGCATAAGCTTTCGTAGACTACAGCCCACTTCTTCGGATGCATATAGAGTGAAACATATATTGAGGATATATATATACACACATATATACATATACATATACAGTAAGACAACTCCCACCTGTTCATGCTCTCTGTATGTGTGTATATATATCTCCTCAATATATGTTTCACTCTATATGCATCCGAAGAAGTGGGCTGTAGTCTACGAAAGCTTATGCTCTAATAAATTTGTTAGTCTCTAAG